GAATTGCGGTACTACCGAATAATTGCGGAATTGCGAAAGAATTGCGGTACTACCGAATAATTGCGGAATTGCGAAAGAATTGCGGTACTACCGAATAATTGCGGAATTGCGGAAGAATTGCGGTACTACCGAATAATTGCGGAATTGCGGAAGAATTGCGGAATTGCGAAAGAATTGCGGTACTACCGAATAATTGCGGAATTGCGGAAGAATTGCGGTACTACCGAATAATTGCGGAATTGCGAAAGAATTGCGGAATTGCGGAATAATTGCGGAATTATGTAATAATTGCGGAATTGCGAATTATTATACGTAATTCACTTCAAAAATCCGCAATACTGCAAATTTAAAAAAATAATTGCAGCATCATCCTTAAGCAGAAAGTATTCTTCGTGAAAAACCTTTACCATACAAATGCAAGCATCTAATAGATCATGAAAATCGAATTTTAACAGTTTTTAATAATCAGAATAATTACATACTTATTGATTATTTGAGAGGAATTTCACATAATATTTCTCTCTAATTACTCACTAATTTTTAAAACCATATTTTAGTAACCATAATATTTTTAATGCTTTCTATTACAACAAATTGATGTGTGGAAATTTTAACTATACTAGATAATTATTCATAGTATGTAAAAGAAATAAATTAGTGTAAAATTTGGTGTTTTTATATAGATAAAGTGTTCATTTAGTAATTTTTCTATGCATAATGCGAAATTAATAAATGTTTAGTAACATACAGTTAGTTTAATATTACAAAAAGTTGAATTATATTAATAAATCTCTAATAAATTTCATTTATAACCAGTACTTTAAAAAAAATTTATAATTGTTAACATTATATCTGTTTATAAATACTGTATATTTGAATAATAAAACTTATAATTATCAATAGTTCCTTATTTTTTAAATTTATTATATATATAGTTTATTTATAAATCATACAAAAATATACAGTTTATTATATAATTCAAGAAATTGTCCATTCAGAATATTAGAATTTGGAATATTGGAATTAAGGATATTTGAATTTGGGATATTGGGATTCAGGTAAGGATGATGCTGCAATTATTTTTTTAAATTTGCAGTATTGCGGATTTTTGAAGTGAATTGCATATAATAATTCGCAATTCTGCAATT